TGGGTAAGTGCGTCACCATGTAGCGCCGTTGTGCTTCAGGATCATCTATCTACTTCCCTATTCTAATTAAAGGCAAAAACGCCAATAATAAATCTTTAGAATGTAATATACTTGTTAGCGGTTGAATTTTAAAACAATTTATCAGAACAAGGTGGCGGTAATACTCCTAAGCGGTGAGCAGCCGGTAACAAGAAGTAGTCGAAGAAGAACGTCCTCATCTCAGTTCTCGCGCGTGCGTTCTGGAAATCTCTTCAATTCTCGTCTCAAGGCCCATAAGGAAGTAATGGAATAGTCTAATAAAGTCGTTATTTATGTTTTTTTTCACACAAAAAGTTTTCTCGTCGCTTGATAAACTTATAATTGAGCCGCTGTAGGCACGTGGAATATTTAAACATTTTCTTTAATGACTTTATGGGCCGTCAAGTGCTTGTCCCTTGGGAAGTCTATGGAGGAGTGATCCAGCTCTCAGATTCAATCAAAAATATCTTTATTTGTGTTCCGAAGAAGAACGAAGGTCTTACGGGGTTGGTACAGCATGGGGGTGAGTAATTAATGACTTAATTTTCATTTTTGAGTGAACTAACCCTTTAATCAATTCCATTTGTGATATTTTGTGAAGTGTGCGTTTGTTGGTCTGTGTGATGCGAGTGAATGTGAACAAAACTTTAAATCCTGCATTTTAAAATATGCTGTGCTATATCCACGGTGTCATATTCATATCATTTTCACTGTATGCTGTATGTAAAATTAGCATTACCTTGTGACGAACATGATGTTCTGAATCCTGAGTCACATGATGTGTGGAGCACATGGCTTAAAAGAGTTTGAAGATGGCAGTTTGGAGAGGCCTTGTGCAGTGGGAAGATGTGGGAAGTTAATCCCTGCAAAAACCCTGTGAGGTAAAAGGAACATTTAGTTGATTTGCTTTTGGATTTATGGTTCTTTTGGATGTTCAGAGAAACTACCATTGGTTCAAACGACAATGGAGGACCGATAATTTCGCTAACTGACTGACTGGACAAAACCAAACAAGTACTGTTTTTTTTTTTTTTTGTTGTTGTTTTTTTTATACATATTCTTATGTTAGTGCTGAGAAAACTGTTTTTGAACTGCACAGTGGACGGGTTGCTCAGTGCTGGTCTGAATGGACTTAAATGTCTTGTGCATATGCAAGCAACTATGCTGGATTGAGAACTCAGTCAAGAAGGGCTAATGTGAAACTGGGGGGTTGCACCCCAAATGAGTTGAAAAGAAATTAACGTGTTGCAAATTTACTGGTCGCACATGTGCGACTGGATGTAAAATTCAGTCGCACACTCTCAAATTTTGGTCGCAAAATGCGACCATTTGGTCGCAGTCTGGAGCCCTGTGTTGGCATTTGTGAATCATTAATGCTTTCCCCTCACTGAATATTATCTTGCTAAAAGAAGAAACTAATAACAGTTTATATGAAGTGAGCCTATTGCTGTTTGTGTGTTAATTCTTCATCCACATATTAAGGGTTATACTTTATTTTTAAATGTCTGAATCCTTTGTATGGTTGACTGACTAAATGAAATATAGTAGGTTTAAAAACCTGCTTGGTACCCCAATCAATTAGGTCAATCCGTTACAACCTTGTGTGCGCACAAAATTACCAGATTACCCAGGTTACATAGTGCCCTGTTACAGTATTTTTACTTCCTTTTTATTCACATATATTCCTATTTAAACAATTACTTTATTTGTGGAAAATTATTATCTAATTTATTAAATAGCCCATATTATATATATATATATTATATATATATATATGAAGAGTTCAGATGCAAAAGCCTCTAAATGCCATTTGAAATTTTCTTCTTTAATGATGATTTTTATCAAACTTGTATATTTAAGTTCAGTAATTTCACTTAAATGGCAAAGATAATTACCTATTAATTGTTATTTAAGTGAAATTACTGAACTTAAATATACAAGTTTGATAAAAATCATCATTAAAGAAGAAAATTTCAAATGGCTTTTAGAGGCTTTTGCATCTGAACTCTTCATATATATATATATATATATAAATAATTAAAATTAGAATATCATGCAAAAGTTCATGTATTTCAGTAATTTAAAGGTGAAACTAATATATTTACATACATATACATTTATATATACTATATACATAACATTTGCATGATTATACTTTTCAGAGGACCGACATTTCTGTATTGAACGTCCTTTTTTGTTCTTTTTTATGTAATATTCTAATTTTATGAGATTTTGAATTTGGGGTTATACTAACCCAGATTAAAGTTGTCTTGAACTGGAGTTATGACAAGAATCAGAATCAAAGTGTAGATATCTCAAACTGGAATTACAGATATCTACAATTCAGTTGCAGATATCTGTAATTCACATAGGGGATATCTCCAACTGAATTAGATATCTGTAATGATGAACCCTATACAAATGAATAGTAAAAGTGATGTCATTTGTCCAAGGAAGAATATGTCTTTGTAGATATCTGAAATTTCCTTTTGACTAGGCAAAACTGAAATATCTGCAATACATCCAGTCTAGCTGTTAATATGGTTTGCCACAGATTTCAGGATTTCCCAATACGGGAAATTAAGTCGATTAACGAACGTTAAACATTAGCTACCGTTTGCAACATCCCCTCCCCCACCCCGTCGGCGCAACTCCCTGACAGGATTTTCCCATTCGTTCCCATTAAGGCATCAGAGTGAAATTACTTTCTTTGAAAGATAATTCGCAACAAACACAGAATAGCAAGTAATGTTATGATCTTTGTGATCAAATTTAAAAAGGTATAAATAATTATACAGTTCAGTCAGACGGCATTAACATAATGTAAATATCCCCTCCTCCACCCTCACTCCCTGACGCAAATTAGTTGTCATACACAGAACAAATACGAGTAAATATGTCTTAATGACTGTACACAATTTGAAAAACGTTAAAGCAAGTCATGGTTTTAAACGGGACACTATTACCATTAATTAACGTTAACGTTGCACTTGCCTTTCCTTTAATCAAATCAGTATGGTAACTTGCATTAAAGACGTTCCCTCGGTGAAAATAATTTCAAAAGGACTGCTAACTTTTACTCAACTTTTACCGCGATAACTTGCAGCTTCCACCTTCCAAAGCGAGAGAGAAAATGGCGGACGAGAGCATAGATATATAAAGGCCTTGTATATCTATGGACGAGAGTGTCGAGCTTTTTATTGTCTGGTGTCGAGCAGAGCAGAGCAGTAACGGAATTTCCTTTGCTTGTTACCATGGTGATGGAGTTTCCAGAATAAACATAACTGATCTTTTATTGTCCAGTTTATTGTACGTACGGAGTTATTGTCCAAATTTCATCTGTAGGAGGTCAGTGTGGTGAGTAGGAAAGGACTACAGCCTTTGGAACGGGAAACAATACTTACGGTGAATTACAGTAATTTTTTTTTGAGCTTATTAGTTTATTGTACGTACAGTAAAGGAGTTATTGTCCAAATTTCACCTGTAGTTAGTCAGTGTGGTCACTATAAGCACTACAGCCTTTGAAACACACACACACACAAAAAATACTTTAGGGGAATTACAGTATTTAATAAACATTTGATAATTGTACAAACAGTAAGGGAGATATTGTCAAACTGTACTTTTGTTTCAATGTTCTTTTAAAGGAAATCATTCTTCTTTAAATACATACATGAAGTAAAGAAGTTACTGTTTTCAGCCATTACAGTTATAGATATATTTAGATAATGTAATTTTTTTTTTGATGGAAGGTGTGCTATTGAAGAACCCCATAGGAGTTATGCTACTTTTTAAATGTTCACCTGTTAGAGGCGCACAGTCAAAGAACCAGATATGATGAATGAAGAGCAGGAGTCAGAATTATAATAAATTAAAGATTTACTTAAAGGATTAGTTCACTTTTGAAAAAACTTTTGCTGATAATTTACTCACCCCCATGTCATCCAAGATGTCCATGTCTTTCTTTCCTCAGTCGAAAAGAAATTTAGGTTTTTGATGAAAACATTCCAGGATTTTTCTCCATATAATGGACTTCAATGGGAACCGGATGGTTCAAGTATCAAAAGACGGTTAAAAACTGTTTCAGATGCAGCTTCAAATGTCTTTAAACGACACCAGACGATGAATAAGGGTCTTATCATGCAAAACGATCGGTTATTTCAAAACTTATTCCAAAAATGTAACTCACCCAACACTGTATCACACAGGGATCTACTCGCACAGTAATCCAACAAGTTATGATTAATTTTGCCGTTTTGTCCTCCTATCCGGTTCTGTATGTTTATTAGTAAGGATGTAGAACTTCCATTCATAATTTGTTTGTTTGCGGTACAGAAAACGACACGGCAACTCTTCGGCATCACGTGATGGGGCGTTCCCAGACCAACCGACTGCATTTACCTTTTTTATTTATATTTATTTTATTTACCTCTTTTTTTTACAGTCTATGGTATCTACTGAGAGATGTGGTCATCATCCTCCGTGAAGTTTGCAACCCATAAAATTAAATAATGTCCAAAACGATGCCATCCGTTTGTGCTGCAAAAACGGTTTAAGATAGTGAACATTATTATTATTTATTTATTTATTTATTTATTTATTTTGGTGCCATTCGTTTGTGCCGTTAAAAAAAAACCCCCACTGTACCTGTATCTAAAAAAAAAAAAAAAAAAAGAGTATTAAGAAGTGTTATTGCTGATTTACGTGGTAAAAATGAAAGGTTATTCTGTTATGTAGGAGCATTAATTATTTTATATTTATTATTGGTGATTTGCCGTCACTTGGGCACAGGCGATCACTTCCGTTTTCTTTATTATTTCCTGATATATAATATAAAGCTAGTCTGTTTATAAATTGTCCTCTCACACACACACATACACTTAATACATCATTACAGCAGGAATCACATCTATAAGAGAGCAATAAACCAGGCCAAGTAAATAAAACCTTAAATATTAAAACTCAACCTGTCACATATGGGATGGGAGGGTTTCAGAAAAGAAATGTGTACACTTCACTTTATTCACACTCATATTAAAACCTGTGTTTATATTTTAGGACACAACGCTGCTTCTTCATACTTTGAGTTTTGTTAAAGAAAGCAACAACAACAACACATAAGAGGAGTGGGTATTTAAATACATTTACTGGAATATATTTCAATATTTGAAAAACAAATAAGCAAAATTGGCAATGTAACAAAGTTTTTCATCAGCGGAGACGAGTATACGTTACTAAACAACATTCAGCAGTGTTGCACACACTTCCCCTTTAAAACGTGGAATCAATATCAATTATTGTAAAAGAATCACAGTATTGTAAGTGTGTGTGTGTGTGTGTGTTTCAGTGCTGTGAGTCGGCGAGCGCCTCGAGGTTTAGCATCATTCCTCCTTCAGCTCTGAGCACCAGCTGATAGAGACGCTGAACCGCCTCGAGTCCCGGCAGGATCCTGAACCTCCTCAGAGTCTGAGCCACCACAACCTTCATCTCTGCCATCGCGAAGCTCTGCCCGATACAGTTCCTGTGTGTGTGAGAGAGTGTGTGAGTGTGTGTGTGTGTGTTTGAGTGTGTGTGTGTTTGTGTTTTAGGGAGCGCACCTGGGTCCTGCTGAGAAAGGAATGAAAGCATGAGGAGAGCGTGTGTGTGAGTTCTCCGGGGCGAAGCGCGTCGGGTCGAACACCTGCACACAGAGAGAGAGAGAGAGAGAGAGTGTGTGTGTGTGTGTGTTATCAGATCTGAGGTTTATTTCAGTGACGGACCGCAGATGATCGAGCCTCACTCACCTCAGGATCAGCCCAGACCTCGGGGTTACGGTGCACTCCATAGATACTGATCAAACTCAGACATCCTACACACACACACACACACACACACACACACCTTAACGAGAAACTGAGCATCATTTATTCTGATGCAATGCTGCAGCAGTTGTTTGTGTGAGTGTGTGAGTGAGTGTGTGTTTGAGTGAGTGAGTGAGTGAGTGTGTGAGTGAGTGAGTGAGTGTGTGTTTGAGTGAGTGTGTGTTTGAGTGAGTCAGTGAGTGAGTGTTTGAGTGAGTCAGTGAGTGAGTGAGTGTGTGTTTGAGTGAGTGTTTGAGTGAGTCAGTGAGTGAGTGAGTGAGTGTGTGTTTGAGTGAGTGTGTGTTTGAGTGAGTCAGTGAGTGAGTGTTTGAGTGAGTCAGTGAGTGAGTGAGTGTGTGTTTGAGTGAGTGTGTGTTTGAGTGAGTGAGTGTTTGAGTGAGTCAGTGAGTGAGTGAGTGAGTGTGTGTTTGAGTGAGTGTGTGTTTGAGTGAGTCAGTGAGTGTGTGAGTGAGTGTTTGAGTGAGTCAGTGAGTGAGTGAGTGAGTGAGTGTTTGAGTGAGTGAGTGAGTGAGTGAGTGAGTGTTTGAGTGAGTGTGTGTTTGAGTGAGTGAGTGAGTGAGTGAGTGAGTGAGTGTGTGTGTGTTTGAGTGAGTCAGTGAGTGTGTGAGTGAGTGTTTGAGTGAGTCAGTGAGTGAGTGAGTGAGTGTTTGAGTGAGTGAGTGAGTGAGTCAGTGAGTGAGTGAGTGAGTGAGTGTGTGTTTGAGTGAGTGTGTTTGAGTGAGTCAGTGAGTGAGTGAGTGAGTGTGTGTTTGAGTGAGTCAGTGAGTGTGTGAGTGAGTGTTTGAGTGAGTCAGTGAGTGAGTGAGTGAGTGAGTGTTTGAGTGAGTCAGTGAGTGAGTGAGTGAGTGAGTGTTTGAGTGAGTGTGTGTTTGAGTGAGTGAGTGAGTGAGTGAGTGAGTGAGTGTGTGTTTGAGTGAGTCAGTGAGTGTGTGAGTGAGTGTTTGAGTGAGTCAGTGAGTGAGTGAGTGAGTGTTTGAGTGAGTGAGTGAGTGAGTCAGTGAGTGAGTGAGTGAGTGAGTGTGTGTTTGAGTGAGTGTGTTTGAGTGAGTCAGTGAGTGTGTGAGTGAGTGTTTGAGTGAGTGTTTGAGTGAGTGAGTGAGTGTGTGAGTGTGTGTTTGAGTGAGTCAGTGAGTGAGTGAGTGAGTGTGTGTTTGAGTGAGTGTGTGTTTGAGTGAGTCAGTGAGTGTGTGAGTGAGTGTTTGAGTGAGTCAGTGAGTGAGTGAGTGAGTGTGTGAGTGAGTGTTTGAGTGAGTCAGTGAGTGTGTGAGTGAGTGTTTGAGTGAGTCAGTGAGTGAGTGAGTGAGTGTTTGAGTGAGTCAGTGAGTGAGTGAGTGAGTGTTTGAGTGAGTCAGTGAGTGAGTGAGTGAGTGAGTGTGTGTTTGAGTGAGTGAGTGTTTGAGTGAGTCAGTGAGTGAGTGAGTGAGTGTGTGTTTGAGTGAGTGTGTGTTTGAGTGAGTCAGTGAGTGTGTGAGTGAGTGTTTGAGTGAGTCAGTGAGTGAGTGAGTGAGTGAGTGAGTGTTTGAGTGAGTGTGTGTTTGAGTGAGTCAGTGAGTGTGTGAGTGAGTGTTTGAGTGAGTCAGTGAGTGAGTGTTTGAGTGAGTCAGTGAGTGAGTGAGCGAGTGAGTGTGTGTTTGAGTGAGTGAGTGTTTGAGTGAGTCAGTGAGTGAGTGAGTGAGTGTGTGTTTGAGTGAGTGTGTGTTTGAGTGAGTCAGTGAGTGTGTGAGTGAGTGTTTGAGTGAGTCAGTGAGTGAGTGAGTGTTTGAGTGAGTGAGTGAGTGAGTGAGTGTGTGTTTGAGTGAGTCAGTGAGTGAGTGAGTGAGTGAGTGTGTGTGTGTTTGAGTGAGTGTGTTTGAGTGAGTGAGTCAGTGAGTGAGTGAGTGAGTGTGTGAGTGCTTGAGTGAGTGTGTGTTTGAGTGAGTGAGTGAGTGTTTGAGTGAGTGTGTGTTTGAGTGAGTCAGTGAGTGTGTGAGTGAGTGTTTGAGTGAGTCAGTGAGTGAGTGAGCGAGTGAGTGTGTGTTTGAGTGAGTGAGTGTTTGAGTGAGTCAGTGAGTGAGTGAGTGAGTGTGTGTTTGAGTGAGTGTGTGTTTGAGTGAGTCAGTGAGTGTGTGAGTGAGTGTTTGAGTGAGTCAGTGAGTGAGTGAGTGAGTGAGTGTTTGAGTGAGTGAGTGAGTGAGTGTTTGAGTGAGTCAGTGAGTGAGTGAGTGAGTGAGTGTGTGTTTGAGTGAGTGAGTGTTTGAGTGAGTCAGTGAGTGAGTGAGTGTGTGTTTGAGTGAGTGTGTGTTTGAGTGAGTCAGTGAGTGTGTGAGTGAGTGAGTGAGTGAGTGAGTGTTTGAGTGAGTGTGTGTTTGAGTGAGTCAGTGAGTGTGTGAGTGAGTGTTTGAGTGAGTCAGTGAGTGAGTGTTTGAGTGAGTCAGTGAGTGAGTGAGCGAGTGAGTGTGTGTTTGAGTGAGTGAGTGTTTGAGTGAGTCAGTGAGTGAGTGAGTGAGTGTGTGTTTGAGTGAGTGTGTGTTTGAGTGAGTCAGTGAGTGTGTGAGTGAGTGTTTGAGTGAGTCAGTGAGTGAGTGAGTGAGTGAGTGTTTGAGTGAGTGAGTGAGTGAGTGAGTGTGTGTTTGAGTGAGTCAGTGAGTGAGTGAGTGTGTGTGTGTTTGAGTGAGTGTGTTTGAGTGAGTGAGTCAGTGAGTGAGTGAGTGAGTGTGTGAGTGCTTGAGTGAGTGTGTGTTTGAGTGAGTGAGTGAGTGTTTGAGTGAGTGTGTGTTTGAGTGAGTCAGTGAGTGTGTGAGTGAGTGTTTGAGTGAGTCAGTGAGTGAGTGAGCGAGTGAGTGTGTGTTTGAGTGAGTGAGTGTTTGAGTGAGTCAGTGAGTGAGTGAGTGAGTGTGTGTTTGAGTGAGTGTGTGTTTGAGTGAGTCAGTGAGTGTGTGAGTGAGTGTTTGAGTGAGTCAGTGAGTGAGTGAGTGAGTGAGTGTTTGAGTGAGTGAGTGAGTGAGTGAGTGTGTGTTTGAGTGAGTCAGTGAGTGAGTGAGTGAGTGAGTGTGTGTGTGTTTGAGTGAGTGTGTTTGAGTGAGTGAGTCAGTGAGTGAGTGAGTGAGTGTGTGAGTGCTTGAGTGAGTGTGTGTTTGAGTGAGTCAGTGAGTGAGTGAGTGAGTGTGTGTTTGAGTGAGTCAGTGAGTGAGCGAGTGAGTGTGTGTGAGTGTTTGAGTGAGTGTGTTTGAGTGAGTCAGTGAGTGAGTGAGTGAGTGAGTGTGTGTTTGAGTGAGTGTATGTTTGAGTGAGTGAGTGAGTGAGTGTTTGAGTGAGTGAGTGAGTGTTTGAGTGAGTGAGTAAGTGAGTGTGTGAGTGAGTGAGCGAGTGAGTGTGTGAGTGAGTGTGTGTTTGAGTGAGTGAGTGTGTGTTTGAGTGAGTGAGTGAGTGTGTGTTTGAGTGAGTGAGTGTGTGAGTGCTTGAGTGTGTGTGTGTTTGAGTGAGTCAGTGAGTGAGTGAGTGAATGAGTGAGTGAGTGTGTGTTTGAGTGAGTGAGTGAGTGTTTGAGTGAGTGAGTGAGTGTTTGAGTGAGTGAGTAAGTGAGTGTGTGAGTGAGTGAGCGAGTGAGTGTGTGAGTGAGTGAGTGTGTGTTTGAGTGAGTGAGTGTGTGTTTGAGTGAGTGAGTGTGTGTTTGAGTGAGTCAGTGAGTGAGTGAGTGAGTGAGTGTGTGTTTGAGTGAGTGTGTGTTTGAGTGAGTCAGTGAGTGTGTGAGTGAGTGTTTGAGTGAGTCAGTGAGTGAGTGAGTGAGTGAGTGTTTGAGTGAGTGAGTGAGTGAGTGAGTGTGTTTGAGTGAGTGAGTGAGTGAGTGAGTGAGTGTGTGTTTGAGTGAGTGAGTGAGTGTTTGAGTGAGTGAGTAAGTGAGTGTGTGAGTGAGTGAGCGAGTGAGTGTGTGAGTGAGTGAGTGTGTGTTGGAGTGAGTGAGTGTGTTTGAGTGAGTGAGTGTGTGTTTGAGTGAGTGTGTGTTTGAGTGAGTCAGTGAGTGAGTGAGTGAGTGAGTGTGTGTTTGAGTGAGTGAGTGAGTGTGTGTTTGAGTGAGTGTGTGTTTGAGTGAGTGAGTGTGTGTTTGAGTGAGTCAGTGAGTGAGTGAGTGTTTGAGTGAGTGAGTGAGTGAGTGTGTGAGTGTTTGAGTGAGTGTGTGTTTGAGTGAGTCAGTGAGTGAGCGAGTGAGTGTGTGAGTGTTTGAGTGAGTGAGTGAGTGTGTGAGCGAGTGAGTGTGTGTTTGAGTGAGTGAGTGAGTGTTTGAGTGTTTGAGTGAGTGTGTGAGTGAGTGAGCGAGTGAGTGTGTGAGTGAGTGAGTGAGTGAGTGTGTGTTTGAGTGAGTCAGTGAGTGAGTGTGTGAGTGTTTGAGTGAGTGAGTGAGTGTGTGTTTGAGTGAGTGAGTGAGTGTGTGTTTGAGTGAGTGAGTGTGTGAGTGCTTGAGTGTGTGTGTGTTTGAGTGAGTCAGTGAGTGAGTGAGTGAGTGAGTGTGTGTTTGAGTGAGTCAGTGAGTGAGTGTGTGAGTGTTTGAGTGAGTGAGTGTGTGAGTGAGTGAGTGAGTGAGTGTGTGTGTGTTTGAGTGAGTCAGTGAGTGAGTCAGTGAGTGAGTGAGTGTGTGTTTGAGTGAGTGAGTGTGTGAGTGAGTGAGCGAGTGAGTGAGTGAGTGAGTGAGTGTGTGTTTGAGTGAGTCAGTGAGTGAGTGAGTGAGTGTTTGAGTGAGTGTGTGAGTCAGTGAGTCAGTGAGTGAGTGTGTGAGTCAGTGAGTGAGTCAGTGAGTGTGTGTTTGAGTGAGTGAGTGAGTGTGTGTTTGAGTGAGTGTGTGTTTGAGTGAGTCAGTGATTGAGTGAGTGAGTGAGTGAGTGAGTGTGTGAGTGAGTGAGTGTGTGAGTATGTGTGTGTGTGTACCCTGTGGAATGACACAGTCTCCTGGTGTCTTCATGTTCTGAGAGTAATAGCGTGTCACCGCTAGAACGGGCGAGTGAAGCCTCAGACTCTCCTTGATGCACATGCTGGTGAAGGTCAGCTGACTCAGATCCTCCCTGCAGCCAATCACAGCGCAGAATCACACCTCACTCACAGTAGATCACTCCATATATGGGCATTCACTGTTTACCATCGTTAGTTGTGTTCAGAACAATATACTACACACTGCTCTTACACACTAAATTGATATGTTGTATTTTAACACACACAAACACACACATTATTGCTTAAACTGCAATTTAAAACACATTTTGTGTGTGTCTGCAGTGAGTGTGTGTGTCACTGACCAGCTGATGTCGTGTGTGTCTCCGTCCCGCAGGAGCGACTGGATCTCGGCACGACAGCGCTCCTGATGATCCTGATGCATGGCCAGATTATAGAAGATCCAGGAGAGAGCGCTGGCGGTGGTGTCGTGACCTCAACACACACACACACACACACACACATCAGTCATGCTTTCATCAGAACCAAACCAACAGCAAACCACTGAATATGAGCAAAGTTCAGTTTTGTTTTCTTACAAAAATCCACTTTTCTCAATAATCCTTAAAGAATTTGAAAATGACTTTTATGGTTGGAAATAAATGGATAATAAATGCATAAATCAAGAATCCAGTGAACATGAGCTCGGACTCACCAGCGAACATGAACATATCAGCATGTGCCTGGATCTCCTCGTTCGTCAGTCCCTCGCCGTTCTCATCCTGAACATTACACACATATCAGCTTCACATATCCATCAGGAACACTTCCCTTAGTTCGGGATAAATACTCTACCGGCCAAAAGCTTAAAGAGTCTCTTCTGCTCACTAAAGCTGCATTTAATTCATCAAAAATACTTTAAAAATAGTGCAATATTATTATAATTTAAATCATCTGTTCTCTATGTGAATATATAGTAAAGTGTAATTTATTCCTGTGATCAAAGCTGAATTTAAATATACTAATACGGGAAATATGCTAATACGGGACAGTCCGTCAGCGTGTGTGGGCGGGGCATGAGCATTATGACATCATAGTGCTCAGAAAACTATTATTAAGAGTGTTTAGGCTTTTTGAGGATAAAAAAAGAGTTAAAGCTACACTGTGTAACTCTTAGTTTATTCTTAAATATTCAAAAATATATGTGCTCATTAATGTATATTTACTTCGTTCAAGTAATAAAGTATTCTCGTGAGTGTTTAATATGCCATTGAAAATACATACGGGTAAGGGGGTCGCCATGTTACCCCTCCATCTTGAAAGTACATTAGCCAAAGAGGGACATACCCGTTAATTCAAGCTTCGCCTTTCGCGTTTACGTTTGAGTTAACACTCATGGACGAGGTCGAACTGGAAGCCATGTTAATCTTGGACTACATTGGCCACCGTAGGAGTTAAAACGAAATCGGAATTGAGAGGAACAGAAACTAATATTCACTGGATGGTCATATACCTTTTCACCACTAGATGGGGGTAAAAATCACACAGTGTAGCTTTAATTATCTTTTCTTGTGTGGTGGTTGAGTCCACACCCTGCAAACACACACACACACACACACATGCAAACCCCATCCGATGACCCTTTAAAGGTTGTTAAAAACCAACGTGCTTTGGACAGAAGCAGTAGGTCGACGAGGTCCGTGTCCTTCTTCTTGTATCCTCCGGTGTACTCCAGGTTCTCCGAGCTGCTCTTCGCTGACCCCTGCTGTTCGAGTTGGGAACGCCGTTCTTGGACGATTTTTGCGGTGAAACCGTGAACGATGTCGCACGCCTTGCGGAAGCGCCGTCCCTGTTCAGAGCGCCAGTATAACCAGTCCCAGTGATACGGCAGATAGTGCTGTCTCTGGACCAGCAGCTTAGACAGATCCAGGATCGCTGAGATATACTCACTGGGTTTCCTGAGAGAGAGAGAGATATGATTCATAATGTGAGAAATGTTGAAGGTGTGTGTGTGTGTGTGTGTGACACTGACCCCTGACAGTGGCTGTCGCAGCTGAATGTGCATTTGAGGAGACTATCCAGAGTCATCGAGCTCATGTTCTCAAACATGTCCAGACCGTTGTGTCCTTCGGCCAGCAGGAGGCGCCATTTACTCTTCAGGGAGACACAACACACACACACACACATGCAACCACAGATGAGAAGTTCCTCCTCACACATCTGAACAATCTTCCGTTGTGGACAACAACACAGATACTGGACTACAGTGAACACACTTACAACAGGAAGAGTACACACATGCACACACACACACACACATATGCACATCTCACCAAAACATGTCCAGGTCACAATTTCACAGTCAAATCAGGAGAAATAAGATATTATCTTTCACTTGAAGGCTGTTTTAGGAACATTAAAATTCATTAATGGGGAAATTGGTATGAAAATAATGCCACGATTAGGGATATTTCTGTTAATTAAAACTACAACCGTTAAAAATACATTTGATGTGTGTGTGTTTTTTTTGTTTGTTTTTTTACATTAAACTGAAACATCACCTGAAATAAAATATAAAAAAATATATAAGGCAATGATTTTTATTTGTGATTAGTTTAAATAATTTGGACGGAAAATGTCATGAAAATAATGTCTCAATCAGAGTTATTATTGTTAACTAAAACTAAAACCATTCATATATATATATATATATATTAAATAAAATGAGTTAAAATAATAATTAAATATAAAAACTAATTTAAATTAAATAAAAAACGTAGACTTACTTATTTAGTTATATTTAATTCGTCACATATTTATTTCCATTTAGTTTAAGTAAAACAGCTAAAACTAATAAAAAATATTATTGTAAAAAATAGACATTGTTTTTTTTATATATAAAAATAACTTAAGATAAGATTCATAAAAACAAAAGATTCATAAAAACAATAATAGTTCTAAAATAACACCATAAAATAGGCTTTTTTATTATTATTATTATTATATACTTAGTTGTGCTTTTGTGAATCTTGCCGTCTTTGGTAACAGTTTATTTGACAGTGTCTTTCACACATGTGAATAACTATATTTTTTATAATGTTTAATAATGTTTTTTCTTCTCTTCTCAGCGGATGAGTGTGTGTCGGCGGGTGATCTGATGAGATAAGTGTGTGTGTGTGAACGCTGTAGTCGAGAGATGTGTTTGAGAGCGTGCAACACATGAACATCAGCAGGAACTGAACCGCCAAAGCTGCGACTCAGTGTGTGTCACGATGTGGATGTGTGTGTGTGTGTTTGACCTACATGCATGATGTTGGTGGACTGGTTGAAAATGTGAACATATTTTTTGAGGATGTCGAAGTGGAACGCTGGAGTTAAAAGCTTCCGGTGGCGAGACCATTCCTGACCGTCCTGGAGAAGAAGACAGTTACCTGTAACACACACACACACACAGGAGAGCTTTAGCTGCAACACACACAAGCCTTCAGAAGATAGCAGTTTTCTGCTCATCCAAGCTTCCTTTATTTGATCAAAAATACTGTAAAACACTGAAATATTATTCTAATGTAAATCATCAGTTCTCTATGTGAATATACAGTAAAGTGTAATTTATTCCTGTGATTTCCAGCATCATTACTACAGTCTTCAGTGTCACATGATCCTTCACAAATCACTCTAATATGATGATATGATTTTTTTCTTCGGGATTCTTCGATGAATAGAAAGATCAGCATTTATTTAAACTGTAATCTTGTGTAACATTATAAATGTCAAATGAAAACATGAACTAACAAAAGTAAATTAGGTAACTAATTATGTAGAAACACAAATGAAAACTGTAAGCTTCCTCTTTATTCTAAATTGCAGCTCAGTTCCTTTTAGGAAAGACTGTCTGTGTGTGTGTGTGTGTGTGTGTGTGTGTGTGTGTGTGTGTGTGTGTGTGTGTGTGTGTGTGTGTGTGACAGAGAGGACATCACTTACCCAACCAGGGTTTCATAAAGCCATAAAAGATCCTGTCTTTAAAAGTAATGGAAGCTGCCAGAACAAACATGAAGAGTTATTACAAGACTTCTGGGAATATTCAGCTTATTATTTTCCATTTCAGACTCTAAAAGACCACAGTAATGGGGATTATGGGTAATATATGATTGATTGTCTTGAGAATAATGTGACTGCAGCTGGTGTCAGTGTTCATGATTTCTGGTGTTTGACAGACAGATGTGCATGTAATCATAATAATACTCATAATAATAATTACCCGAGGCCGTCAGGAGTGATTTGATGTAGTCTGGGTGGAAGAGACGGACCATGTTATAGAAGGGGCCGAGATACCAGGCACAGGAGTGAGTGTACCTCCTGACCAGGTCATCAACGGCCTGGAGCCCCGCTTCATTATGGCCCATCTGAAACACACACACACACACTCGTTCAGAGGAGAAACACTCTCACAGGCTGCTTTAACTCTGGTTTGTGCTCTGAGGAATGACACTAAAGCAGGGCTTTACAAACTTAAAAATAAATTTGATTAAAATAGGAAAATCTATTAATATAAGATAATATAAATTTAAATGAATACATTTGATTAAAATAAATAAGAATAATATAAATTTGATTTAAATATATAGAAACAATTCTTAAAATAAAATAATATAAATGCACATTAATAAATAAATTTGATGAAAATAACTAATAAAATAAAATAAATTGTACTTAAAATGTTTAAGAAGTTGTATTCAAAATAAAATAATAAAAATAAAAATATTTGGTTAATAGAAATAAAAAATGGAGTAGAATAAAACAATGTAAATTAAAAGAAAATGTAATGCAATATAAATTATAATAAGTATATTTGATCAAAATAAATAGGAAAATGTATCAAAATAGTACACATTTAAATAAAAACATCTGATTAAAATAAATCAAATGTATTTAAATTAAAAAGTATACATTTGATTTAAGTAAAAAAAAAAAAACAGCACAGTAATATAGTGAGGGAAAAATAATGTAATAATAGAAACTAATTATTTGTCCACATTTATAATGTTCATTTTTGGCAGTATTAAGTGAGTCTTTATGCACAGCTATCGCTGCCTTTTAAATGTTAAATCCTGGCACGAGGACGATCATATTCTGTCTAAAAGATTAAACCATCACTGAAGGACACTGAAACTGTCCCGCATAACGACCTCACTGTTTCATTCAGCAGAATCCAGTTTTATCATATTTGTGTATTAAATATCTAACATGTTGGCAGTTGAATTATTAGTTAAGATTCCAGTTCCTATTCTTTCTTCACTAAGGTGGAGCTATTGCAGTGTGTCAGTATTGCACATTCTGAATCACTTTGGTGTCCATGCAAACTGGAAATGTGCATATTTATATCTGTGTATACTTCAGGAAGTATTCTGATACATAACAACATAAAAGATGCAAATAACCGCGCATTATTATCACTCATGATGAGGAAAGCCGAAAGTAACCCTTGCATGTTCAACCATAGCTCTGAGATTCTAGATAACGAGGTTTTGCATGAGTCACAGTTCCTGGATCAGTTCAGAGAGTTCACTTCAGCTGATGATGAACGAGAGTATGTCATTTGAGTAGACACGTTTTCTGCTTTTCCTGCAGACATGTCTCACGCATGCTCAGTTTTACAACTTAAACGCAATATCACTTCTTTCCTCTTTTCTATGGACATCTTCCCTGTTGCTCTCAGACTCTTGAGAAATGACATTTCTTGTTTAGATGCAACAGTTTTCCGATGCAATCTATCAGCCTGCAGATCAGCTCTTAATCTTGACACACATCTACATATGCAACATTAGCTCAAAAATACAGAGGCACAGCTATAAAAGAGCAACTGTAACAGTATGACATTAAAATGCACAAGAGGTTCAGCTGCCTACATAAATTATGCATAATTACAACTAACCCTCAACCGAATTATAATCCTACTGTAAAACACACCACTACATAAGTAGTAGCCTACATGTAGTTAATATTAATCAGTACTTAAATATATAATTACACTGTAACAATGACATCTAAAAAAAAAAATAAAGTGCACCGATGTTTTATGGTAGGCTAATTAATGCTGGATATGTATCTGAGGTGAGATGCAGGAAACTCGCCAGTCCCATGTGTCCCATGATCCAGTTTCTCTGCGGCGGCTGGTTGAAGCATCGCAGCGCGCGCCGCTTGAACTCGACACGCGCCGCGAACGCGCACAGGAGCGCGGCACAGGTGAGCGCGAGGACCCCGAACACCGAGCACCGGCAGAGCAGCGCGTGCACGAGCCCGATCACCCCCATCGACACCGTCATCCAGAAGCTGAAGAGAACAACAACCTGTCACCACGGCATCGCGGGTTTAATGTGCGCCGATCAAAAATGAAATATTAAAATCATATAGCCGAGTACGGACAGTTAAAAACACAATAAACACACTTATGAACTCTTTAAAATGTCACATTCATAAGACCTGTATGACGAGCTGCTGAAGAGTTTCTAGTCAAATGAAGTGTTCTGCAGTTCCGGGTCCTCCTATCATAATCATCACACATGCAGCATATAACTCACTGTAGATACTGTACAGCAGACATGATTAATAAACTGTCACATGATTAATGATGCACATCACTGAAGGTTTATGAAAACATATTTTGATCCAGTTGCCTACAGAAAGTGTTCAGATGATCCTCACACCCTGTTCTATGAATAGCCTACATAATATTTCTGTAGGCTATTGAATATTATATATTTGTATTTGAACTCAATACAAACTCGAATAAATATACATGAGATTCATGAAAGTGCTTTCGGTTTTAAAGTTTGTTTGTTACAAGTTTATGTTGAACCGATGATAGTTTTATACAAATCCATCCGGCAGATGGCGCTGCTGTAACATGAGATTGTAAACCAATCAAACTGGTTTTTGTTTTCAGCGTGAATGCCGGGAAAAACAAACACAACACATATAAAGTGGGAAAGAGCTTTGCGATTGACTTTACAACTAGATTTGACAAAAAAAAAAAAAAAATCGGATATTTATTACAGAGTCCTATAGAAAGAGGAGCAAATGGATCGCTGCGATTCACAGAAACAACTGGACTCCAGTCAGTGAAAGGTGGATACAGTCATGTTTTTGTGTCAATATGCTGAATTTAGCTGTAAAACCATACACATATATTGTTATATATATTAAAAACTCATCAATTACATATGTATCATTGCATATTCTGCATTATTGGATGTTTTTTTTTCTAATAAACACTGACCAAAAAAAAAAAAAAGATAAAGTTTTAGGGCTGGACGATATGATGATATATATAGGCTATATATGACACTGATATAAGTGATCACCCGGATTTAGACCTATTTATAAAAAGCGTTCACAGGCAAATTTGCTTTATGTTTAACTTAGGTCTATGCTTTTATTTCCCCGGTGTCGAAATCAGGCAAACATAAATGTCAGGCAACACGATTCCTGGCTGCATGTCATCTTTAGTAAGTTGTAAGGAGTCCAACATTTAGTTTAAATTGATAAAATTGTTCGTTTTAATCGCATTTTCGCAGTTAACCCAGTCACGCAGCGGGTCATTTCATTTGCCACTCAGTCAGGCTGAGGGGACGTGTTTCGGCGGGAAAGTAACGTCAATGCATTCCCTCTCACAGTAGACTGTGAACTACATTTCCCATGACGCCCCGCGGTGCGCGTGAGAGTCTCTCAGTCAGCAGTGGAATGTGTGGAATGTGTTTCCTGTGTTTGGCATCATGAGCGCGAGAGTCTCTCCGGTTTCCCGTGAGTTTCCACGGAGTTTGAGTCCGGCAGAAGAGTTGAATGAGTGTGTGGAGTTTGAGTCCGGCCGAAGAGTTGAATGAGCGTGTGTGTGGAGTGTGTGTGTAGTTTCAGTGATGGCAGAGCCGCTGCTCAGACGGACTTTCTCCAAACTCCGGGCGAAAGAGCGATTCCGCCGCAAGACGGACCCCAAACTCACCGGTGAGAGACCGACACCAGAACACACACACATATGTCACACACTTCTGTTATTATCTAATGCAGATGAAGCATTGTCAAAATGTTATTCTTGCTCTAAAACTAAAACAAATGCTGAAGAACAGATTAGAGGTGAAATAACGACATGAAAAATTAATATTCTTCATTATTTGACGAAAACAAAATCATATTCATCAAAATACGTTCTGTTTCAAAGTTTGTATGTTTAGACTGTTATTAAAACTTATATTTATGCTAACTGTAACTGTATTTCTGCTATCTAGATAGCCTATCAGTCAAGAGTTAAGACACATCTACTCATTTTCTATTGTGAATATTTCTCCACATGTTAGAATTATTGTAAAGTTGTGGAAACCGGAGTTATGTTAAACTCATTTCCAGCTCTCATTCCTCAATAAGAGTGTGTTTTGTGTGATGATGGAGCAGACAGAGATCATGAAGTGCTCAATTCATCAACTAAACAAATATTAAGTAATATTTTAGTTTTTTTAAATACACTATTTGCTTTCCAAAATCAATAGCCACAGTTTACTGCATATGATTCCCTTTTCTGCCTTTAAAGGGAAAGTTTTTAAGATTGTGAGCAAACGTGTGTTTCTTCTGTCTAAACGCTGGTGTTTACAGTAGATGTGAACAGAGAGCTCTGTGTCCTCTGGGTTCAGGCAGATTTAATGCGTCTTCCTCATGTGATGATGATGATGATGATGCTCTTACGAAAAACATTGTGAGTTTGTTACATAATACACGTGTGTCATTCATCATGAAACGTCACTGTTTCTCCTCTGAAGAGAACAAAAGCATTTATTTATCATGCACTTATACAAAATAAAAAGTTGCATCTATTTGATGGCTCTGAGCCTACATGAAGTAACAATGAACAGTTGTGTTTTATGAACTATTTTTAATGAAGATTTTACAGATGCAAATTGCTCATTAGTGTCAGTTAATGCACCGATAGAGAAACCGATATTTTTGTGGTGACGTTTTGATGTTTTTGGATCTTGATTGGCTTTGGGAGAGAGCAGCATTAATATGTCGGTGTTTTTGTGTCTAGGGGTTTCAGACGAGTAAAGCGGGACATGATGTTTTCTTTCTGGATGAAGTTTTAAATGAAGTTGTTTGGTTTCTGGCGTTCACTGGATTTGTCTCTCTCTCATTCTCTTTCCCTGCATGTTATGTCTGAAATAGGAAAGACGTTTGCTGGAGTGTGTGTGTGTGTGTGTGTGTGTTTGTGTTTGTTTGTTTGCGTGTGTCTGAGTGTGTGTGTGTGTGTGTGTGTGTGAGTAAGTTTGAGTGTCAGAGTGAGTGAGTGACTGAATGAGTGTGTGTGTGTGTGTGTGTGTGTGTGTGTGACGTGTGTCAGTGAGAGTGACTGACTGAATAAGAGTGAGTGACTGAGTTTGAGTGTCTGAGTGAATAAGTTGACTCACTTTCTCACTCAGTCACTCACTTTCTCACTCAGTCACTCACTTTCTCACTCAGTCACTCACTTTCTCACTCACTCACTCAGTCACTCCCTTACTCAGTCACTCACTTTCTCACTTACTCACTCACTCACTCACTCAGTCACTCCCTTACTCAGTCACTCAGTCACTCACTTTCTCACTTACTCACTCACTCACTCACTCAGTCACTCCCTTACTCAGTCACTCACTTTCTCACTTACTCACTCACTCACTCACTTTCTCACTCACTCACTCACTTACTCAGTCATTCCCTTACTCACTCACTTTCTCACTCAGTCACTCACTTTCTGACTCAATCACTCACTCAGTCACTCACTTTCTCACTCACTCACTCACTCACTCACTCACTCAGTCACTCCCTTACTCACTCACTCAGTCACTCACTTTCTCACTCACTCACTCACTCACTCACTCACTCACTCACTCAGTCACTCCCTTACTCAGTCACTCAGTCACTCACTTTCTCACTTACTCACTCACTCACTCACTCAGTCACTCCCTTACTCAGTCACTCACTTTCTCACTTACTCACTCACTCACTCACTTTCTCACTTACTCACTCACTCACTCACTTTCTCACTCAGTCACTCACTTTCTGACTCAATCACTCACTCAGTCACTCACTTTCTCACTCACTCACTCACTCACTCACTCACTCAGTCACTCCCTTACTCACTCACTCAGTCACTCACTTTCTCACTTACTCACTCACTCACTCACTCAGTCACTCCCTTACTCAGTCACTCAGTCACTCACTTTCTCACTCACTCACTCACTCACTCAGTCACTCCCTTACTCACTCACTCAGTCACTCACTTTCTCACTTACTCAGTTACTCACTCACTCACTCACTCACTCAGTCACTCCCTCAGTCAGTCACTCACTTTCTCATTTACTCACTCACTCACTCACTCACTCACTCACTCAATTTATCACTCCCTCACTCACTCACTCACTCACTTAGTCACTCACTCACTTTCTCACTCACTCACTCACTTACTCAGTCACTCCCTTACTCACTCACTCAGTCACTCACTTTCTCACTTACTCACTCACTCACTCACTTACTCACTCAATTTATCACTCCCTCACTCACTCTCTCACTCACTCACTCACTCACTCAGTCACTCACTTTCTCACTCACTCAGTCACTCACTTTCTCATTTACTCACTCACTCACTCAATTTATCACTCCCTCACTCACTCACTCACTCACTCAGTCACTCACTTTCTCACTTACTTACTCACTCACTCACTTACTCAGTTACTCACTCAGTCACTCACTCACTTACTCACTCAGTCAGTCTCTCACTCACTCACTTACTCACTCAGTCAGTCTCTCACTCACTCACTCAGTCACTCACTTTCACACTTACTCACTCACTCACTTACTTACTTACTTAGTCACTCACTTTCTCATTTACTCACTCACTTACTTCCTTATTTATTTACTTAGTCACTCAGTCACTCACTTTCTCATTAACTCACTCACTTACTTACTCACTCACTCAGTCACTCACTTTCACACTCACTCACTCACTCAGTCACTCACTCACTCACTCACTCACTGACTCACTCAGTCACTCACTCACTGACTCACTCACACACTCTCTCTGGCTTCGTCCACATTAATCCGGATACATTTGAAAACGGGGCTTTCGTTTAAAAACACGCTCTCCGTCCACGCTAGCGTTTTCAGGTGTTTTCCGAGGTTTCAGTGTGGATGGGAAACTTCTAAATTCACTTTACTGCACGTGCGTGAAACTTCACAAAAGCTCACTGAGACGTTACAGAGGGGAAAATAAATAATAACGTTATCGCACAAGCAGGATAATTTTATTTAGCAAAATATCTCCCCATCACTGATGTGTCCAGGTCGCATTCAGTCACCATAGCCTATGTCTGGTCTGAAACGCAACTGCTCCCCAGTTTTGCCGCAATGTGAGTACTTTATCTGTCATCTTTGCAGTGCTGTACTATGAAGAACAGCACATAGAAAAAAAAATATTTTAGCAATAGTGTAAAAATGAATAACACACAACAGGCACAATACCGATAAACATGAAAATCTATTGGTACTACATGGATCACATGACTAAAACTTGTCATCGTTTTAAAATACCTCCGGTTTCACTGTCCACACTACAATGCGAAAACGCCGTTTTCAAATTTATCCACTTTGGAGAGCGTTTTCCAAAAGATACGTTTTCGTTGACTTAAAACGGCGCCTCAGTGTGGACGGAAGACCAAAACGGAGAGAAAAATATACGTATTAGTGTGTGGACATGGCCTCTGATATCGACTATCCTAATTGTTTTGCATTATTTGTTCTCCGTGTATCTGCCAAATGTATAAATGTGGCAGTGCATTCTGGGATTGCATCGTCCACTAATGATACATGTGATGCTGCCTCAGAAGAATAGAGTTATGCCACTCGATTTCCCAACGCAGATCCATCAGGAGAGAGGGAGAAAACGGCGAAGCTGAAACTATGAGAACAGAGAGAGGAAGAGAGAGAGAGAGAGAGAGAGGAGAGAGAGAGAGAGAGAGAGAGAGAGAGAGAGGGAGAGAGGGAGAGAGGAGGAATGTGAACTCTGGAGAATAACGATCCCAGCTGCAACTAACCACTGTCCAGAGTATCCCAGAGGAACCTGGTGTGTGTGTGTTCATCAGTGTGTGTGTGTGTGTGTGTGTTCTTATCAGTGAGTGTGTGTGTGAGGGTCGATAGACTGCTTCATCACTGCATCTGTGAACCACATGAGAGTCCTAAACAGAAAACTCTTTCTGCTGGATGTGTGTGTGTGTTTTTTCTTGATCTGCGACCCGTTGCCACACAGAATCTGCGCCCGCAGCGTTTTACTAAAAGATCTCAAGAGTTTCCCAAGAATTGAATTTCTTTCTGTGAATGTATGTTTGTTTTTAAGGAATATTTATTCATCATCATCATCATCATGTTCCAAACCCATGTGACTCTCTCTCTCTCTCTCTCTCTCTCTCTCTCTCTTCCAGTAGTCTATGTCCACTATGACCGAGTATATATATATATATATATATATATTAGGGCTGTGCAAAAATTAATTGCGATTAATCGCATCCAAAATAAAAGTCTGTGTTTACATAATATATTTGTGTGTGCTGTATATAATTATTTTGTATATGTAAATGCCTATGCATGCATGTATATATTTAAGAATTATTTGCGCTTAAATTTTGTATACATATATAAATGCATAATCTATATTATATAAATATAAATATTTTATATTATGAATAACACATTTTCTTAAATATATGCATGCATGTGTTTGTATTTATATATACAAATTAATTACATACAGCACACACAAATATATTATGTAAACACAGACTTTTATTTTGGATGCGATTAATCGCAATTAATTTTTGCACATTCATAATTTTTGTATATAATTTTATTTTATTTCGGCTTTATTTAAAGTATTGAAAGTGTGTTTTAATATTCGTAGTAGATGTAAGGCAGGAACACACACACTCCAT